GATTTTGATTCTTTAAACCAAATTATGTAGTTTAAATCAAATGTAGTAATTATATTTTACTACTAACTACCCCCCAAGATCTTTTTTAGCCCCTTTACAGTGGTGTAGTCACGCTTTTGTGCAGCTGTCTTTTCATGTTAAAGGTGCACTGTGTAATTTTTCTGGAGAAGGTCCGCAACCTGTTTGTCTCCATGGAGATGTGATTTTATTTAATTTTTTTCTTTGGTTTAAATTGTCCACAGTACGGCATTAAACTAATTCAACTACAGGTGTTTTTTTATGGCTCAAAAACACTCATTCTTACTCTGAGCTGGGTTACAAGTCTCCATGGAGATTCTTAAAGGTTGTATGGAGGATTTTTTTTGTTTTTTTTTTTTGTTTCAAATTGTCAATGATAGATTATAGAAGGTGCCGTAGCCTTGTAATTATGATGACCAAAAAAAAGAGAATAAAAATTCATCAACTCTGGACGTGGTGGGGCTAAACATTTGCCAATAGATAACGACACTGCCTCGTTATCTGTGAGCTGACAGGCTGTCAATCAATCTCCCTACGTTTCTAGTGTAACTGACTTGCCTGCGCCGCCGGTACGTGGTTTACGTACGACTGTCACGCAGTCCACAGACGCAAGACGCACAGACGCTGTTTACTCCACCAACGCAACAGTTCTTAACGGCTTTTTTGACCTATATCTTCCTCGCAGTTCGCACAAAGTTTGTTGCAATGGCGACAAGAATCTACGAGCAGTTAGCCCCAAAACAAAATCCGTTTTTGAGGTCGCTGAAAGAAGAAGACAAGGGGAAAAGCAGCGAAACCAAACTAAGGTGATTCTTGAAGATTCATTCCAGCGATGGCGCGAACTGAAGCAGACGCAGGGTCTAAAGACTGACGCACTGGTCCACAAATTACTCCTGGACAGGAAACTTCTGCTTATTATGAAAACGTACTTTATTTCCAAGAGCGAGACAAACGTTTTTCAGGACACGAATGCGATATCCTATGTCTGAAAACGTAATTTTCAAGGCAAAGAAAGAGTCCGCTTGCTGCTGCGTGTTGTAGTAGTAGCTAGTTCATTCGCACGGAATCTCTGCGCCCCCTCTGCCCGTTCCGTTCTTCTCCCTGCTCCTCACTTCTTGTCCGCGCACCGCTCCCCCCGCTCCTCACTTCTCCGTCTTGCCTAACCAACACTGTAGTTAGTTGTTTACAAGTCATGTGCAGCACCGGTTTCTGGCGTAAGGATGAGGCAGAAGGAGGTGTTTCTACGTAGGAGCTGTAGGGGAGGGGGGGTGGTTTCACGCATGCGCAACATTTGAAAAAGGACAAACAGTCGCTGGATTTCTCGTTCCTTGGAAAATCCTCTATACAACCTTTAAGTTTATGGTTATACTGTGGAACATTTTGAGCACATTTCCACGGAGACAAACAGGTGACAGACTCAAGTTACACAGTGTAGTGTTAAAATAAAGCTTTGTGTGGATTTTTAAGCATCAGATTGACTAAAACAAGACAGTCGATGCGTTAAAAAGTCTGGCTAATCAGTTTGTAAGATCCAGACTAAACCAGGACTGACCCACGGATCCTTTGGGGCAGGGGACGGCCGCTGGGAGGTTGAACTTGGTCCGGGGCCACCAGATCCCAGCGGTGATGGTTTTAGGGCAGCCGTCGTAGATCACTGAAGAGAAAACAAGATCTTTTACTGATGCAAAACTATAAAATAAAATCAGTACTAAACCAGGAGTCAGACTAGAGACGAAGTGCACGGGATAAATAATACGAGTAAGAGCAGAGCAAATGTGACCCAAAGCAAATGAAACAAAGGTAGGACTAAACCAGGACTAAACCAGGACTAAACCAGGACTAAACCAGGACTAAACCAGGACTAAACCAGGACTAAACCAGGACTAAACCAGGACTAAACCAGGACTAAACCAGGACTAAACCAGGACTAAACCAGAAGGACTAAACCAGGAGGACTAAACCAGGACTAAACCAGGACTAAACCAGGACTAAACCAGGACTAAACCAGGAGGACTAAACCAGGACTAAACTAGGACTAAACCAGGACTAAACCAGGACTAAACCAGGACTAAACCAGGACTAAACCAGGACTAAACCAGGACTAAACCAGGACTAAACCAGGACTAAACCAGGACTAAACCAGGTAAACCAGGACTAAACCAGGACTAAACCAGGACTAAACCAGGACTAAACCAGGAGGACTAAACCAGGACTAAACCAGGGACTAAACCAGGTAAACCAGGACTAAACCAGGACTAAACCTAAACCAGGAAACCAGGACTAAACCAGGACTAAACTAAACCAGGACTCTAAACCAGGAGGACTAAACCAGGACTAAACCAGGACTAAACCAAGACTAAACCAGGTAAACCAGGACTAAACCAGGACTAAACCAGGACTAAACCAGGACTAAACAGGACTAAACCAGGACTAAACCAGGACTAAACCAGGACTAAACCAGGACTAAACCAGGTAAACCAGGACTAAACCAGGACTAAACCAGGACTAAACCAGGACTAAACCAGGTAAACCAGACTAAACCAGGACTAAACCAGGACTTAAACCAGGATTAAACCAGAACTAAACCAGGACTAAATCAGGATTAAACTTCAAATGAACCAGGACTAAACCAGGACTAAACTCCAGCTGAACTAAAACAGAACAAAAACACAACTAAACCAGGACTAAACCATTTCTAAAGCAGAAATGAACCAGGACTACACCAGAACTAAACCAGATCAATACCAGGACTAAGCGAAAACAAAACCAGAACTAAACAAGATTTAAACCAAGACTAAACCAGGACTAAACCAGATCTAAACTAGGATTAAAGAATGACTAAAGCAGAACTAAACCAGGACTAAATCATGACAAAAGCAGAAATGAACCAGGACTAAACCAGAACTAAACCAGGACTAAGCGAAAACAAAACCAGAACTAAACAAGATTTAAACCAAGACTAAACCATAAACCAGACTAAACCAACTAAACCAGACTAAACCACTAAACCAGGACTAAACCAGGACTAAACCAGGACTAAACCAGGACTAAACCAAGACTAAACCAGACTAAACCAGACTAAACCAGTAAACCAGGACTAAACCAAGACTAAACCAGGACTAAACCAGGACTAAACCAGGACTAAACCAAGGACTAAACCAAGGACTAAACCAGGACTAAACCAGGACTAAACCAGGACTAAACCAGGACTAAAACCAGGACTAAACCAGGACTAAACCAGGACTAAACCAGGACTAAACCAGACTAAACAGACTAAACCAGGACTAAACCAGGACTAAACCAGGACTAAACCAACTAAACCAGGACTAAACCAGGACTAAACCAGGACTAAACCAGACTAAACCAGGACTTGGAACCAGGACTAAACGAGGACTGAAGCAGACCTTCACATCCATTGTTGGTGACTTCGGCGAAGGGGTTGTCGCAGCTGTTGCACTGGCGTCCGATCACTCCGGGTCTGCACTGGCACTGGCCGCTCTCTAGGTCACATGACCTGGAGAAGGAGCCAATGGGATAACAGTCGCACGGGAGACAGGAATCTGAGCCGTGGGGATGGTAGTGGAACTCCTACGGGTCGAAGAAAAGGGACAAAAAAGATGAATAAAAACATGGTTACGGACAAAAAGGGTAGTTCAATCCAATCCAATATGATTTTTAAAAATTCAAAAATATTCCAAAAAATGCAACTTTTTAAATTTTGATAACGATATTTTGACTTTAAAGGTCTTTTTATTATTATTATTATTATTATTATTATTATTATTATTACGCAAAATGAATTCTTGTGAGCTTTAAAATGCTGTTACCTTCTCAAAAACATACCTGGTGTTTTGTTTCATTTCATTATTAATCTCCTTTTTGGGCCAATTTATTTTTTATTTATTTATTTTTTGTTGCTGTTATTTCTGCTATGATTTCATTAATGTTATATATTCCATAGTAAAACAATGTAGATTTCTTACTTGCCCAAAATAAATACATAAATCTCAGTCTCAATCTCAATCTGTCTACATTTCGAAAACTCAAAATGCTCTGTTCCACCTTGTGATGTTATCAGTGTTGTGTATCATGTAACAGATTACATGTACCTGAGTTACGTAATCAGAGTAACTGTATTCTGTATTCACTGTTACAGTTACTTTCTCCATGAGTGGTAATTGGATTACAGTTACTTTGTTGAAATAAATGGATTACACAGAGATATTTTCCTGTTTTCCTGTTTTCACATTTTGGGATATACCCCCCCTCCCTTTTTTTTTTTTCAGTAATTCCACTCATTGCTGTAAACTAAACCAGGTCTAAACTAGATCTAAATCAAGTCTAAACCAGGTCTGAACCAGGACTAAAACCAAGTCTAAACTAGATCTAAACTAGATCTAAACCAGGACTAAACTAGATCTAAACCAGAACTAAACCAGGTCTAAACCAGGACTAAAACCAGGTCTAAACTAGATCTAAACTAGATCTAAACCAGGACTAAACTAGATCTAAACCAGGACTAAACCAGGACTAAAACCAGGTCTAAACTAGATCTAAATTGGGTCTAAACCAGGTCTGAACCAGGACTAAAACCAAGTCTAAACTAGATCTAAACTAGATCTAAACCAGGACTAAACCAGGACTAAAACCAGGTCTAAAACCAGGACTAAACCAGGTCTCAAACAGGTCTAAAATCAGAACTAAACCAGGACTAAAACAGGATTTAACAGGACTAAATCCTGCTGCTTGGACGTGTCTCCTCTTCTTCTATCAATAATATTTTAAATTTGGTTCAGTAAAGTCTGGGCTTTTTATTTTCTTTTATCAGACAAAACTTCTTATGTGAAGATTTCCTCGTCTTTGCTTCTCTGCAGCAAATCAAGTAATCCAAAGTATTCAGATTACTCACTTTAAGTAACTTAATGGATTCCGTTACAAGTTACATTTTGGGGTATGTAATCTGTAATCTGTAGGGGATTACATTTTAAAAGTCACCTTCCCAACACTGGATGTTATGAAGTGGTGGTTTTCAAGTTAACAGCTCTTTTTACCTCTTTTACACATTGGAGCACTTCCTGTATTACCACATGACATCACAAGGTGGAACAGAGTGTTTTTAGTTTGAGAGAAGAGCAACTCCAGGTCTGTATGTGATGAGGAAAAAACATTACTTCACTTTAAATATCCGTCATTTCTATTAGAAGAAAAATAAAAATCACAAAGGATTTATGGATAAAAGTACATTTGATCAAACGATTTAAACAGGAAGTGCTCCGTTACGATGCTCTTGACAGGGTTTAGGTTTGAGGTTATGGATTAGGGTCATGGATCAGATTAAACAGGATTACAAATGATACACATATTATCAGAGCTCTGTTTGAGAATTACCATATTTGGATCTGCTGTGGTTAAAGTGGGATTTACACGGATTACGGACATTCTCCACTGATCACAACGTTTTAGTTTGGAATCAGGACAGCAGAAAAGCCAGGACTAATACAGGACTGAACCAGGTCTAAACCAGGTCTAAACCAGGACTAATACAGGACTGAACCAGGTCTAAACCAGGTCTAAACCAGGACTAATACAGGACTGAACCAGGTCTAAACCAGGACTAATACAGGACTGAACCAGGTCTAAACCAGGACTAATACAGGACTGAACCAGGTCTAAACCAGGACTAATACAGGACTGAAACCAGGTCTAAACCAGGACTAATACAGGACTGAACCAGGTCTAAACCAGGACTAATACAGGACTGAACCAGGTCTAAACCAGGACTAATACAGGACTGAACCAGGTCTAAACCAGGACTAATACAGGTCTAACCAGGTCTAAACCAGGACTAATACAGGACTGAACCAGGTCTAAACCAGGACTAATACAGGACTGAACCAGGTCTAAACCAGGACTAATACAGGACTGAACCAGGTCTAAACCAGGACTAATACAGGACTGAACCAGGTCTAAACCAGGACTAATACAGGACTGAACCAGGTCTAAACCAGGACTAATACAGGAAACCAGGTCTAAACCAGGACTAATACAGGACTGAACCAGGTCTAAACCAGGACTAATACAGGACTGAACCAGGTCTAAACCAGGACTAATACAGGACTGAACCAGGTCTAAATCAGGACTAATACAGGACTGAACCAGGTCTAAACCAGGACTAATACAGGACTGAACCAGGTCTAAACCAGGACTAATACAGGACTGAACCAGGTCTAAACCAGGACTAATACAGGACTGAACCAGGTCTAAACCAGGACTAATACAGGACTGAACCAGGTCTAAACCAGGACTAATACAGGACTGAACCAGGTCTAAACCAGGACTAATACAGGTCTAAACCAGGACTAATACAGGACTGAAACCAGGTCTAAACCAGGACTAATACAGGACTGAACCAGGTCTAAACCAGGACTAATACAGGACTGAACCAGGTCTAAACCAGGACTAATACAGGTCTAAACCAGGTCTAAACCAGGACTAATACAGGACTGAACCAGGTCTAAACCAGGACTAATACAGGACTGAACCAGGTCTAAACCAGGACTAATACAGGACTGAACCAGGTCTAAACCAGGACTAATACAGGACTGAACCAGGTCTAAACCAGGACTAATAAGGACTGAACCAGGTCTAACCAGGACTAATACAGGACTGAACCAGGTCTAAACCAGGACTAATACAGGACTGAAACCAGGTCTAAACCAGGACTAATACAGGACTGAACCAGGTCTAAACCAGGACTAATACAGGACTGAACCAGGTCTAAACCAGGACTAATCCAGGACTAAACCAGGTCTAAACCAGGTAAACAGGAAACCAGGTCAGGACTAAACCAGGAAACAGGACTAAACAGGTCTAAACCAGGTCTAAACCAGGACTAATACAGGACTAAACCAGGTCTAAACCAGGACTAATACAGGTCTAAACCAGGACTAATACCAACCAGGTCTAAACCAGGACTAATACAGGACTGAACCAGGTCTAAACCAGGACTAATACAGGACTGAACCAGGTCTAAACCAGGACTAATAACTCCAGGACTGAACCAGGTCTAAACCAGGACTAATACAGGACTGAACCAGGTCTAAACCAGGACTAATACAGGACTGAACCAGGTCTAAACCAGGACTAACTCAGGACTGAACCAGGTCTAAACCAGGTCTAATACAGGACTGAACCAGGTCTAAACCAGGACTAATACAGGACTGAACCAGGTCTAAACCAGGACTAACTCAGGACTGAACCAGGTCTAAACCAGGACTAATACAGGTCTAAACCAGGTCTAAACCAGGCCTAAACCATGACTAACCCAGGACCAACCAAGATCTAAACCAGATCTAACCCAGAAATAAACCAGAATTAAACTATGTCTAAATCAGAACCAAACAAGTCTAAACCAGGCCTAAAACAGGACTAACAACCAAATTCAAATCTAAACCAGGTCTATACCAGGTCTAAACCAGGTCTATACCAGGTCTAAATCAGGTCTAAACCAGTCAAGGTCTAAATCAGGTCTAAACAAGGTCTAAATCAGAACCAAACCGGGCCTAAATCAGAACTAAACCAGGTCTAAACAAGGTCTAAAACAGGACTAAACTAGGACTAAATGAGACTAAACCATGACTAACCTAGAACTAAAACAGTACTAACCCAAATCTAAACCATGACTAACTGAGGACTAAATGGGACTAACATATCTAAATCAGGACTAAAACAGATCTAAACCTGGTCTAAATCAGAACTAAACCAGGACAAATCCAGGACTAAACCATGACTAACCCAGGACTAAATGGGACTAAACCAGAACTAAAGCAGGACTAACCCTGATCTAAAACAGGTCTAAACCAGAAGTAAAACAGGCCTAAACCAAGGGAAACCAGACCTAAACCATGAATAACCCAGAACTAAAACAGGACTAAATAGATCTGAAACAGGTCTAACTAAACGTAAACCAGGACTGGACTGGGACTAGACCATGACTATCATAAGACTAAACCAGCTCTAAACCAGGTGTAACCCAAGACTAAACCAGGACTAAACCAGGTCTGAACCAGGTCTGACTCAGGACTAAACAGGTACCTTGCATTGACACTGGCCGCTGGTCTTGTTGCAGTCTGGGTCGAAGCCTTTGTCCACATCACAGTCACATGGACCACAGTTTGGAGTCCCCCACCAGCGCCGGGGACACTGCTGCTCAATCCTGGACGAGAACACAGCAAAATGTGAGGGGAAAAACAGGGAAAACCAGGACTAAACCAGGACTAAACCAGGACTAAACCAGGACTAAATCAGTGCAAAGCCAGATCTGCAGAGCCCTTTACAAAAAACTGGGTAAAACAGGACTAAAACAGAACTAAACCAGGACTAAACGAGGTCTAAATCAGGTCTGAACCAGGTGTAAACCAGGACTAAACCAGGCCTAAACCAGGACTACACCAGGACTAAACCAGGACTACACCAGGACTACACCAGGACTAAACCAGGACTACACCAGGACTAAACCAGGACTACACCAGGACTAAACCAGGACTACACCAGGCCTAAACCAGGACTACACCAGGACTAAACCAGGACTAAACCAGGACTACACCAGGACTACACCAGGATTAAACCAGGTCTAAACCAGGACTAAACCAGGATTAAACCAGAACTAAACCAGGACTAAACTAGTGCAAAGTCAGAGCTGCAGAGCCTTTTACAAAAAACTGGGTAAAACAGGGTAAACCAGGTCTAAACCAGGACTAAACCAGGTCTAAACCAGGACTAAACCAGGTCTAAACCACGACTAAACCAGGATTAAATCAGTGCCAGAGCTTCAGAGCCCTTTACAAAAACAGGGTAAAACAGGGCAAACCAGGAATAAATCAGGATTAAACCAGGTATAAACCAGGCCTAAATCAGGCCTAAACCAGACCTAAACCAAGACTAAACCAGGACTAAACTGGGTCTAAACCAGGACTAAACCAGGTCTGAACCAGGTCTAAAGCAGAACTAAACCAGAACTGTAAAGCCCTTTACAAAAAGCTCATAATAAAAGCAGTGGTTTAGAGCAATTTTTTTGACAATTTCCCCCTTTTTTGTGTTAAATTGTACTCATTCAAAAGTCTATTTAGGAAATGAATAATGAAAGCCATTTTATTTATCCTTAATACGACAAAATATAAAATGTTGGAATCGAAAATCATGACTGATCAATAAGAGAAAAACTGTAATTCACCCAGCTACTACTACCAATACCTCAAAAATATTTCAGTAGCAGTAATATAACATAACAATACCCGGTCCTAGTCACAAACACGACTCTTTTCCTCTTCCCTCTGATGTTCCTGGTTCTTTAATATTCTGTCTTGTAAGATGTCAGCAATTTTAGGAAACCTCTTTAGACGCCACAGTGAATGACTTCAAATGTAAATCCTCTCTCCCTCCTGAGACTGCACTTCTCTGCCTCACTTTACTCATGTTTGATCAAAAACTGTCAGAGCTGAAGTGGTAAAAAGAAAAACCTGAAATCTTTATGCAGATTTGAAAGAGTGTGTTGATTTTGTCAGATTTCATCATTCAGAGGATTTATGAAACACTGGAAGTGCAGTAGTGGCAGAAATAGTAGTACAAATGTAATATTAGTAATGGTCACACAGTGACATCCTGTGTACAGAGATGTAGTAGTAGTAGTAGCAGTAGTAGTAGAAATAGAAGTAGTAGCAGTAGCAGTAGTAGTAGTAGTAGTGGTAGTGCGTAGTGGTAGTCTCCACAGTCACAGGTGGTGTAGTAGTAGTGGTAGTAGTAGTGTAGTAGTAGTAGTAGTACATGTTTTGGCAGTATTGTCCGTAGTGATAGTCTCCACACTCACAGGTGCAGTAGTTGTAGTAGTAGTAGTAGTAGTAGTAGTAGTACCTGTGTTGGCAGTATTGTCCGTAGTGGTAGTCTCCACAGTCGCAGGTGCAGTAGTAGTAGTAGTAGTAGTAGTAGTACCTGTGTTGGCAGTATTGTCCGTAGTGGTAGTCTCCACAGTCACAGGTGCAGTAGTAGTAGTAGTAGTAGTAGTAGTAGTAGTACCTGTGTTGGCAGTATTGTCCGTAGTGGTAGTCTCCACAGTCGCAGGTGCAGTAGTAGTAGTAGTAGTAGTAGTAGTAGTAGTACCTGTGTTGACAGTATTTGTCCGTAGTGGTAGTCTCCACAGTCGCAGGTGCAGTAGTAGTAGTAGTAGTAGTAGTAGTAGTAGTAGTAGTACCTGTGTTGACAGTATTGTCCGTAGTGGTAGTCTCCACAGTCGCAGGTGCAGTAGTAGTAGTAGTAGTAGTAGTAGTAGTAGTAGTACCTGTGTTGGCAGTATTGTCCGTAGTGGTAGTCTCCACAGTCGCAGGTGCAGTAGTAGTAGTAGTAGTAGTAGTAGTAGTAGTAGTAGTACCTGTGTTGACAGTATTGTCCGTAGTGGTAGTCTCCACAGTCGCAGGTGCAGTAGTAGTAGTAGTAGTAGTAGTAGTAGTAGTAGTACCTGTGTTGGCAGTATTGTCCGTAGTGGTAGTCTCCACAGTCGCAGGTGCAGTAAGTAGTAGTAGTAGTAGTAGTAGTAGTAGTAGTAGTACCTGTGTTGGCAGTATTGTCCGTAGTGGTAGTCTCCCACAGTCGCAGGTGCAGTAGTAGTAGTAGTAGTAGTAGTAGTAGTAGTAGTAGTACCTGTGTTGGCAGTATTGTCCGTAGTGGTAGTCTCCACAGTCGCAGGTGCAGTAGTAGTAGTAGTAGTAGTAGTAGTAGTAGTAGTAGTACCTGTGTTGGCAGTATTGTCCGTAGTGGTAGTCTCCACAGTCGCAGGTGCAGTAGTAGTAGTAGTAGTAGTAGTAGTAGTAGTACCTGTGTTGGGCAGTATTGTCCGTAGTGGTAGTCTCCACAGTCGCAGGTGCAGTAGTAGTAGTAGTAGTAGTAGTAGTAGTAGTACTGTGTTGGCAGTATTGTCCGTAGTGGTAGTCTCCACAGTCGCAGGTGCAGTAGTAGTAGTAGTAGTAGTAGTAGTAGTACCTGTGTTGGCAGTATTGTCCGTAGTGGTAGTCTCCACAGTCGCAGGTGCAGTAGTAGTAGTAGTAGTAGTAGTAGTACCTGTGTTGGCAGTATTGTCCGTAGTGGTAGTCTCCACAGTCGCAGGTGCAGTAGTAGTAGTAGTAGTAGTAGTAGTAGTAGTAGTAGTACCTGTGTTGGCAGTATTGTCCGTAGTGGTAGTCTCCACAGTCGCAGGTGCAGTAGTAGTAGTAGTAGTAGTAGTAGTAGTAGTAGTACCTGTGTTGGCAGTATTGTCCGTAGTGGTAGTCTCCACAGTCGCAGGTGCAGTAGTAGTAGTAGTAGTAGTAGTAGTAGTAGTACCTGTGTTGGCAGTATTGTCCGTAGTGGTAGTCTCCACAGTCGCAGGTGCAGTAGTAGTAGTAGTAGTAGTAGTAGTACCTGTGTTGGCAGTATTGTCCGTAGTGGTAGTCTCCACAGTCGCAGGTGCAGTAGTAGTAGTAGTAGTAGTAGTAGTAGTACCTGTGTTGGCAGTATTGTCCGTAGTGGTAGTCTCCACAGTCGCAGGTGCAGTAGTAGTAGTAGTAGTAGTAGTAGTAGTAGTAGTACCTGTGTTGGCAGTATTGTCCGTAGTGGTAGTCTCCACAGTCGCAGGTGCAGTAGTAGTAGTAGTAGTAGTAGTAGTAGTAGTAGTAGTAGTACCTGTGTGTGTTGGCAGTATTGTCCGTAGTGGTAGTCTCCACAGTCGCAGGTGCAGTAGTAGTAGTAGTAGTAGTAGTAGTACCTGTGTTGGCAGTATTGTCCGTAGTGGTAGTCTCCACAGTCGCAGGTGCAGTAGTAGTAGTAGTAGTAGTAGTAGTAGTAGTAGTACCTGTGTTGGCAGTATTGTCCGTAGTGGTAGTCTCCACAGTCGCAGGTGCAGTAGTAGTAGTAGTAGTAGTAGTAGTAGTAGTACCTGTGTTGGCAGTATTGTCCGTAGTGGTAGTCTCCACAGTCGCAGGTGCAGTAGTAGTAGTAGTAGTAGTAGTAGTAGTAGTAGTAGTACCTGTGTTGGCAGTATTGTCCGTAGTGGTAGTCTCCACAGTCGCAGGTGCAGTAGTAGTAGTAGTAGTAGTAGTAGTAGTAGTAGTAGTAGTAGTACCTGTGTTGGCAGTATTGTCCGTAGTGGTAGTCTCCACAGTCGCAGGTGCAGTAGTAGTAGTAGTAGTAGTAGTAGTAGTAGTACCTGTGTTGGCAGTATTGTCCGTAGTGGTAGTCTCCACAGTCGCAGGTGCAGTAGTAGTAGTAGTAGTAGTAGTAGTAGTACCTGTGTTGGCAGTATTGTCCGTAGTGGTAGTCTCCACAGTCGCAGGTGCAGTAGTAGTAGTAGTAGTAGTAGTAGTAGTAGTAGTAGTACCTGTGTTGGCAGTATTGTCCGTAGTGGTAGTCTCCACAGTCGCAGGTGCAGTAGTAGTAGTAGTAGTAGTAGTAGTAGTAGTAGTACCTGTGTTGGCAGTATTGTCCGTAGTGGTAGTCTCCACAGTCGCAGGTGCAGTAGTAGTAGTAGTAGTAGTAGTAGTAGTAGTAGTAGTAGTAGTAGTAGTAGTAGTACCTGTGTTGGCAGTATTGTCCGTAGTGGTAGTCTCCACAGTCGCAGGTGCAGTAGTAGTAGTAGTAGTAGTAGTAGTAGTAGTACCTGTGTTGGCAGTATTGTCCGTAGTGGTAGTCTCCACAGTCGCAGGTGCAGTAGTAGTAGTAGTAGTAGTAGTAGTAGTAGTACCTGTGTTGGCAGTATTGTCCGTAGTGGTAGTCTCCACAGTCGCAGGTGCAGTAGTAGTAGTAGTAGTAGTAGTAGTAGTACCTGTGTTGGCAGTATTGTCCGTAGTGGTAGTCTCCACAGTCGCAGGTGCAGTAGTAGTAGTAGTAGTAGTAGTAGTAGTAGTACCTGTGTTGGCAGTATTGTCCGTAGTGGTAGTCTCCACAGTCGCAGGTGCAGTAGTAGTAGTAGTAGTAGTAGTAGTAGTAGTAGTAGTAGTACCTGTGTTGGCAGTATTGTCCGTAGTGGTAGTCTCCACAGTCGCAGGTGCAGTAGTAGTAGTAGTAGTAGTATAGTAGTAGTAGTACCTGTGTTGGCAGTATTGTCCGTAGTGGTAGTCTCCACAGTCGCAGGTGCAGTAGTAGTAGTAGTAGTAGTAGTAGTAGTAGTAGTAGTAGTAGTACCTGTGTTGGCAGTATTGTCCGTAGTGGTAGTCTCCACAGTCGCAGGTGCAGTAGTAGTAGTAGTAGTAGTAGTAGTAGTAGTAGTACCTGTGTTGGCAGTATTGTCCGTAGTGGTAGTCTCCACAGTCGCAGGTGCAGTAGTAGTAGTAGTAGTAGTAGTAGTAGTAGTAGTAGTAGTACCTGTGTTGGCAGTATTGTCCGTAGTGGTAGTCTCCACAGTCGCAGGTGCAGTAGTAGTAGTAGTAGTAGTAGTAGTAGTAGTAGTAGTAGTAGTAGTAGTAGTACCTGTGTTGGCAGTATTGTCCGTAGTGGTAGTCTCCACAGTCGCAGGTGCAGTAGTAGTAGTAGTAGTAGTAGTAGTAGTACCTGTGTTGGCAGTATTGTCCGTAGTGGTAGTCTCCACAGTCGCAGGTGCAGTAGTAGTAGTAGTAGTAGTAGTAGTAGTAGTACCTGTGTTGGCAGTATTGTCCGTAGTGGTAGTCTCCACAGTCGCAGGTGCAGTAGTAGTAGTAGTAGTAGTAGTAGTAGTACCTGTGTTGGCAGTATTGTCCGTAGTGGTAGTCTCCACAGTCGCAGGTGCGTAGTAATAGTAGTAGTAGTAGTAGTAGTAGTAGTAGTATTAGTAGTAGTAGTACCTGTGTTGATAGTATTGTCCGTAGTGGTAGTCTCCACAGTCGCAGGTGCAGTAGTAGTAGTAGTAGTAGTAGTAGTACCTGTGTTGGCAGTATTGTCCGTAGTGGTAGTCTCCACAGTCGCAGGTGCAGTAGTAGTAGTAGTAGTAGTAGTAGTAGTAGTAGTAGTAGTAGTAGTACCTGTGTTGGCAGTATTGTCCGTAGTGGTAGTCTCCACAGTCGCAGGTGCAGTAGTAGTAGTAGTAGTAGTAGTAGTAGTAGTACCTGTGTTGGCAGTATTGTCCGTAGTGGTAGTCTCCACAGTCGCAGGTGCAGTAGTAGTAGTAGTAGTAGTAGTAGTAGTAGTAGTACCTGTGTTGGCAGTATTGTCCGTAGTGGTAGTCTCCACAGTCGCAGGTGCAGTAGTAGTAGTAGTAGTAGTAGTAGTAGTACCTGTGTTGACAGTATTGTCCGTAGTGGTAGTCTCCACAGTCGCAGGTGCAGTAGTAGTAGTAGTAGTAGTAGTAGTAGTACCTGTGTTGGCAGTATTGTCCGTAGTGGTAGTCTCCACAGTCGCAGGTGCAGTAGTAGTAGTAGTAGTAGTAGTAGTACCTGTGTTGGCAGTATTGTCCGTAGTGGTAGTCTCCACAGTCGCAGGTGCAGTAGTAGTAGTAGTAGTAGTAGTAGTAGTACCTGTGTTGGCAGTATTGTCCGTAGTGGTAGTCTCCACAGTCGCAGGTGCAGTAGTAGTAGTAGTAGTAGTAGTAGTAGTACCTGTGTTGGCAGTATTGTCCGTAGTGGTAGTCTCCACAGTCGCAGGTGCAGTAGTAGTAGTAGTAGTAGTAGTAGTACCTGTGTTGGCAGTATTGTCCGTAGTGGTAGTCTCCACAGTCGCAGGTGCAGTAGTAGTAGTAGTAGTAGTAGTAGTAGTACCTGTGTTGGCAGTATTGTCCGTAGTGGTAGTCTCCACAGTCGCAGGTGTAGTAGTAGTAGTAGTAGTAGTAGTAGTAGTAGTAGTAGTACCTGTGTTGGCAGTATTGTCCGTAGTGGTAGTCTCCACAGTCGCAGGTGTACCCGTGGGAGGAGGTGGGTTTGCGGTGGCACTTGGCTTCGTTCTCACAGGGGTTCAGGTGACAGGCGTCAGTGCAGCCTTTACCGTAATATCCTGAAAAGGCACAGACAGAAACAACATTAACACTAAACAAAAGGCAAAAGGCCGCTGCTGTTCGCTCCAATACTTGAGCTCTGGAGATGTAGACAGACTAATAAAGGATTACTCAAAACACAACTCTTGAGTGTGTTTTTTGCGGTATCAACGTTCGAACACGGCTAAAAGCTCACAAGAATCAATTCTGCATAATATCGGACCTTTAAAAGACTGCGCAAAAATGGTCAGATCTTTCCTGTGTACATGTTTACACTAATGTCCACAATTACAATCTTGCCCATGCTTCCTTTCAATAAATCCATTTTCATTTCAAACCTCAGATATCTCAATAATTTCTGCTTTTCCCATAAAAACATGCCGTGATTTTAATCCAATCATGAGCCATCTCCACGCTCCAGACTGGACTGCATTTTATTCAGAGAGAAATAACCCACTTTTCTTAACACTTCTTCTCTGCATACCCTCCATACGAGTTGAAAATGACAAGGTAATTGTAGCTATTGAAAAGTCTATTCTTCTTTCAGTGTCATCTACAAACAAAGAGAACCCAGTAGTGAAGGTTGAGTAGTTGTTCGCAATAATAGTTATGTAAAAATACTTCACATTTTTGTCTTGAGTTGACAGCAAAGAATTAAAGATTTACTTGAATAATTACAGTATAAGAGACAGATCTAACCAAGGACACTTAGTAAACTAGGGCTAAAACTTAATCCACGACGAAAGCAGGTTGACATTAAAGGTGCAATGCGTAACTTTTTGGTTGGGGTCTGTCACGTTCTTGTTTCTAGGGACATGTCATTACATTAAACAGCTCTGTCTTACAATTATTCAATTACAGGTGGTTTTATTGCTCAAAAGTACCCAAAAAACAGGTATTCTGACTGTAGAGTGGGGTCGCCTCTCCACGGATCTGACCTGTAACTTGGTCTAGTTTCCAATATTTTGAGGAATTGTACCCATTCAAAATATTTAAATTGTTAACGGCACCATATGACGCTATTTTCTAATCTGTTATAATGTTGTTTCCTCATCACATTCATACCTGGAGTTGTGTTTTGTTTCATTCACACATTTAACACTGAAACTGCATATTTAGGCTGAGCTCTTCTCTCAAACAGAAAACATTCCGTTCCAATTTGTGTTGTCATGTGGTAATAGAGGAAGTGCTCCACTTAGTGTCATAGTACATAGTGTCGAAACCAAGACCGGTCTTGAGTACTACGACAGGTTTTTTTTTACGATCTTGGTCTCGTCTCGGACTCGATCACGTTCGGACTCGGTCTTGACTCGGGGTTAAAGGAGCTTGGACTTGGTCTTGTCTCGGACTTGAGGTCCAACTCCAGTTAGGAACTTAAAAAAACAAAAACAGGTTTAAAAATCCTACCCACTTTTTTCACTTTCTTCACAGTTTTGTGTAAAGTGCCAGTGGAAGTTTTCTTAAAGAAGGGCTTCTCAAACTGTGGGTGAGGGCTCAAAAAAGGGGCACAAAGTGTTTCAGTGCAGCACAGTTTGCTTGGCCCATTTTAAGCTTAAATTAATATTTAACAGATAAAACAGAGATAGATTGAACAAAAAGGTTAGAATATATGTGCCAACATAACTGCAAAATACAAATAAATGCAGGAAACGACAAAGATGGTCTTGATTTGGTCTCGACGGGCCATGGTCTTGGTCTTGTCTCGGACTCAGCCATTAAAAGTCTTGATCTTGTCCTGGCCTCGGGACCCTGTTGGTCTCGATTAGTGCGGTCTTGACTACAACACTAGCTCCGATTATTTCAGCCCTGGAATTGCCAATCTCGACTGAACAAAAGGTAAAAGGTAGCTGTTAAACTACCACTGCATGACATCACAAGGTGGAACAGAGCATTTTGGGTTTGGCGATGTAGACATTACTCAGACACGTGTGAATGAAACAAAACACAACTCCCGGTATGTTTTCGAGGAGGTAACAAAATTATAACATCCCTAAAAGCTCACAAGCGCCAATTTTGTGTAATATAAGACCTTTAATCGCTATGGCAACGGTCCTCATTTTTCTTTTTTTTCTGAACAGATTCAGCGAAGCGACCAGGACCCTCTGCCCTCACCTATCGTCCGCCTGTGCGTCTGATGTGATTTTCTAATCTGTTATAATGTTGTTTCCTCGTCACATTCATACCTGGAGTTGTGTTTTGTTTCATTCACACATTTAACACTGAAACTGCATATTTAGGCTGAGCTCTTCTCTCAAACAGAAAACATTCCGTTCCAATTTGTGATGTCATGTGGTAATAGAGGAGGTGCTCCACTTAGTGTCATAGTACATAGTGTCGAAACCAAGACCGGTCTTGAGTACTACGACAGGTTTTTTTTTTACGGTCTTGGTCTCGTCTCGGACTCGATCACGTTCGGACTCGGTCTTGTCTCGGGGTTAAAGGAGCTTGGACTTGGTCTTGTCTCGGACTTGAGGTCCAACTCCAGTTAGGAACTTAAAAAAACAAAAACAGGTTTAAAAATCCTACCCACTTTTTTCACTTTCTTCACAGTTTTGTGTAAAGTGCCAGTGGAAGTTTTCTTAAGAAGGGCTTCTCAAACTGTGGGCGAGGGCTCAAAAAAGGGGCACAAAGTGTTTCAGTGCAGCACAGTTTGCTTGGCCCATTTTAAGCTTAAATTAATATTTAACAGATAAAACAGAGATAGATTGAACAAAAAGGTTAGAATATATGTGCCAAAATAACTGCAAAATACAAATAAATGCAGGAAACGACAAAGATGGTCTTGATTTGGTCTCGACGGGCCATGGTCTTGGTCTTGTCTCGGACTCAGCCATTAAAAGTCTTGATCTTGTCCTGGTCTCGGGACCCTGTGGACTCGGACAGGTCTTGGTCTCGATTAGTGCGGTCTTGACTACAACACTAGCTCCGATTATTTCAGCCCTGGAATTGCCAATCTCGACTGAACAAAAGGTAAAAGGTAGCTGTTAAACTACCACTGCATGACATCACAAGGTGGAACAGAGCATTTTGGGTTTGGCGACGTAGACATTACTCAGACACGTGTGAATGAAACAAAACACAACTCCCGGTATGTTTTCGAGGAGGTAACAAAATTATAACATCCCTAAAAGCTCACAAGCGCCAATTTTGTGTAATATAAGACCTTTAATCGCTATGGCAACGGTCCTCATTTTTCTTTTTTTTCTGAACAGATCCAGCGAAGCGACCAGGACCCTCTGCCCTCACCTATCGTCCGCCTGTGCGTCTGATGTGATTTCTCTTTAATTCCTGTTTTTGTTGCATTGGTCGAAAACACTTCATCGTTTTTCGATCTCGTGCTATATCTCTTCGCCGTGGCCATGGAAACGGGCGGCGGAGATGGCCTTGGCTTTTTCACAGCGGAGAGAAGAGCGCCGCACGACACAAAAGATAAAACGGCGAGCGGCGGCTTGTCAGGCTCAAGGACCATCACATTCTAACTTTATGAGAAAATATGAGGAAAGAGGAATTTATCTTTTATTGGTCTGAGATACGTGTAAAGAGAAGGTGTTAGGCAGGATGTGGCTGTATGTACTGTGGCAGAGTGGTTAGCCCGTCTTCAGATACTTACTCAGGAGGTTGTGGGTTAGACTCCTGATCTCTCTGAGTAGTTTCCAGTGTCCAGCTTAGAAGCAAAATTATAAACTTCTTGCCGGACCAACCAGTCCCTTCTGAATTCTGTTTGAATCCAGAAAGAACTGGACAAAAGAGCGTGAAAATCGTCTGTCCAAACTTGAGATGATCCAACCACAGCCGCTAAATTGTATCACGTGTCTCTCAAACAAAATATATAATTTCATTTACCTGAGATAAATAAGAGTTTGGTGCTTTGATTGATTGATTGTTTGATATTTGCTCAACTTAAAGTGTTGAAAATGCAGGACATTGTTGACTTAAGTCTCCTCAAAGTCATGTATAAAGCAAAGTGCAAATGTATGACCTGTAAATATTCAAAGACTGTTTGAGCCACTACAATTTAAAAGGAACCTACATGTTTAAAAAACCCAGATTCAGAACCAAGGTTATGGAGCGAAGCGTCGCTGTGAAAGGAGTGAACTTATGAAATAGTCTTGACAAAGAAATAAAAGAATCAAGTACAATGACGACATTTAAAAAACACATAAAATCGAATGCACTGTGTATGTGTGAAAAAGAAAACTTGTATGTTGTGCAAGTTGTGTATAATAATGAAGATTTACAGTTTGCAATTGATCAGTAATTGTGCCTGAACTGATATGGAATGTTTAGTAACCATCGGTGTTGATGTTTTGTCTTGAAAAAGGAAAGGGGGGCAGATAATATAAGATTTTCTCTTCTTTCTGCTCCTTTTCATTCATTTCTTGTGTGTTTGATGTTGTGACACTGTCGATGTCTTTTTATGCTTTATGAAATAAATAAATAAATAAATAATTCAGCAAAAATCCATGCTGCTCCTCAGTTCTTTATTATGTTGTTTGTTTTTTCTCTTTATTCACCATGTTTCTTTTTGACGTTAACAAACCGCGCGTCTCTTTGATTCGTTAATACACAGGATACAGCTCCAGATCCACACCAATTTTTTATTTTTTTTTTTTCAGACTCAAGGTTTTGTCAAAGCGTGCGGTCCTTGCTTAGCCACGCTGGCACCACCTAGTGCCTCCGCTCAATTTTATTTTTCTCCAGAGACTAGGTCAGGAATCAGAATACACTAGATGTTTTGCAAGAACTCCGCAATTGCGAGTTCAGGCACCAGCCAATCACCGAAGAGCCATACATTCTATGTTGGCAACGATTCCTGAAATCGAGGATTTAAAGCTGGAACAAAGAGAATGTTTGGTGAATTTTATCAAGGGGAAAGACGTTATTGTCCTTCTTCCTATGGGATTTGGAAAAAGCTTAATATAAGAGTTAGCCCCGTTAGTGGCACATTACATACTTCACAACCAAATAACAGCGACTGGTTAAATGAAAAAAGTACCCGCCTACTGTCGAGTGAACGAAT